TCTTAATAATCAGAAAATGTATGTCTGGCTCTAGAAAGAACCTTTGAGTGTCAGAAAGCTGAGAAACGACTTTGAACTATCTAAAAGCTAGAAAAAAAAGCCCATTATTACACTGATTAATATATGATAGTAACAATTAAAAAAAAAAAAACAGCAATGTTTCATTTTGTCAGGGGATCTTTCCTACACAACTCTGACAAATTAGGTCATTAAATTCACGAAAATTTAATGTCAAAGTTGTTCTCAGCAAACGTAAAAAACCCATTAAAATAGTGCCTAAAAAAAGTCTAAAAGGGGTTTGGACCTTTTCTATTTAAATTTACAGGTGGCCTTTTCACCCTGGCAACTCAGTCAGCTTTTTTACTAGGTAGCTTAAACACGGCCTCGCGGGCACTCGCGGCCTTCCGACTGCATGGTATCGGTGAAATCGAGGTGATTCCGATCGCTGTTTCATTGCTCTTTAGCTATAAAACACCAAATGTCGTAGACCTTGTAAAAGTCCAGCTTTTCCTCGTTACAATGGTGTAAGTTGTTTATTTGTTCGATTATTAAGAGCTGGAGAATCGCAGAAGAAAGGGAAGTCCCTCGGGGTCGGAATACGTGGTTGGCCGGTTCAAAAATTGACACACGTGCATTCAAATGCTTCGCGGAACGAGGGATTATTAAATACCGTCTATTCATTGGCGGAGAACTGTAGAGCTTTCAACTGGCTTTCCCATGGTATATTTTTGGCCTTTGGTGTTTAAATAGAAAGCCTTTAAAAAGACCGTCAAAATTTTAAAAGATAATTTTTTACACAAAATATGTAAAATACCGGCTCAAAAAAGTATCAATTGAAAGAGTAGTTTATTTTCTATTAGAATAAAGTAATTTGCGTGGAATTATTTTGCATCAATCCTTCCGCGAGACTCGGAAAGCATGTGACCCCGCACGCGGGGTACACTACAGTATAGAGCCGACTCGCTCGCTGCGGGGGCCGGTGCGGCATCGTCCGGGTCAACGCTCGGTGTTTTTGTCGAAATAACGACAGAAGATCGTGTTTGAGGCGATAAAATACTGATTTGTAAAGATCTCACAGTCTTGAAAAAAATTAGGCTCCATATATTTTTTATGGTCATTGTACTCTGTTAATGTGGAGATGTTTAGTGCACTTGGTACTCTTCTATTATGTCAAACATGGGGTTGCAGCAAGTGACTGACTTAAATTCAATAAAAATTTTAAACAACTACCATTTTCTTAAAAATTGACTGAGAGGTTAAAGAATGGTACCAAAATGCTCAGTGGATATAGGCCTTTCAAATGGAACAGATAATTTTGTCATACAGCTACTTTGAAAATTTAGTTTCTGGTACCTATTTTTACTCGACTTCCTCTTTTGTTTCCGATTTTGTGTATAATAAATTTCTGTGGAGTTAGGCCAGGACCACTTCTCTTGAAGAATCACCAGTTGACTTTGTTGTGGACTCTGGGCCCACCTTTTTAGACTTCTACTTCTACTCCTCTTAGCGTAGGTATGAGGCTGAGTCTATACGCACATTGCGTGCCCAGAAATTCAAATTTTGCTGTACGCACGCAATTGCGTGCAAGATGTCATAGTTTGCTATATACGCATGCAAACATGTGTAAAACGGCCACCCATTGTCAAGGAGAAAAGTGGACATATAACACAGGTGGCCGTCTTAGGCAGGACTGGTCAGAATTAAGAAAGCATACCATTCTCTTCTGAGGTCCAAATCAGGGCTGATCTTAGACTTTAGACTGCCGTAGGGCTGATTCAAAAGGGTTTCGTTTTCCTTTGAAAAAGGACGGTGTGTGGTGTTACAAAGGTTTTTTTGTTTTGTTTTGATGGGTTTTTTTGGTCTTTTTGGGGGATAAGCTTTCTTTTTGTTGCTAATTTTGTACACAATGGTAAAATATATATATATATATATATATATATATATATATATATATATATATATATATATATATATAAGCAAGATGATGTAGACCAAGTATAATGGTAAAACAAACACACGGGTCACCACCACTGGGAGAACGAGTGATGTTTCTGTTCAAGTTCACGTCAATGTCCATTGCTACTTTGTTACAGAATAGGTAAACAAAACAGTGACTAGTCACCTTACACACGATTTGTGCATGAGTTGTGGGCGGGGCTTAGGTTATATGACGGATCACGCTTCCCTCACCAGATGTTGAAAATGTATTGTAAGGCCTATGCATTGGTCAACTTGGGTAAACATTTACTGGAAGGACTAGCAATATTGACAGGAGAATGGATTATGACAGCCCGTCCACAGCGTGAGGGGCCGATTCAAATTTGTAAACACACAAACGAACACACCTCAAACAGTCGACAAAGAAACCAATCTCTCATCCCCTAGTGATGTAACCAATCATGGGCTAGGCCTAAGCGGCAAAGCGGGCCCGCCATGGACAAAAGCCCAAAGATTAACTTCATTAAGTGCAATATCTTGGTAGTAGAGAATCTTTCGCATTACGGCACGGAATTGCGTGAACAAAGTATGATACCTTCCACGCAAATGCGAGCGTTAGCAAAAAATGCAATTGCGTATAGATCTAGATTCTACTAGAGTCTAGATTCTACATCCACATTTAGATCTAGTCTAGATCTAGAATCTAGCCTCTAGACGCTCACTCTTGGCAGTCTTGGTGAGCCTCTACTCTAAATGAAAATGGAGTGTCTACGTACATGGTAACCGGGTACCTAGTCTCAGTATCTACGTACACGGTAACCGGGCACCTAGTCACACCTAGTCTTTGTATCTGCGTACACTGTAACCGGGCACCTAGTCCCAGTATCTACGTACACGGTAACCGGAATGAAAATAAATCAATATTTGTCCTGTGCTGTCACTTGCTGAAAAAAACCCAGAAAGTCATACAAGCGTCTTGTCGGGCTCGCCATCGAGACAGGTCAGTGAACCTGTGCGTGCGCATCACATTGTGAATACCGGTTGGGGTCACCAAAGTTCATTCAAAGTCTGTGCGCTGCGAAGTATAGGGCTCCAGAAT